TTGCAATGAGGGTGGTTGATAGCCATGGGGATTTGGTGGAGTACTCGGATCCACACAAGTTGGAGCAGTACTGCGCAAACATGGGAATGCTTGGTGTGGTCTACGACGTTGTTTTACGATACAGGAAAATGACATCCTCTTTGGTAAGAAAGTACTTAGAATTGAACGCAATTTAACCTTTTTGACTGAGTTGATGTTTTTCTTTTACTTTTACTTTATTTTACTGCCTTGGTTAGTTTGCTAGTTAATATTTTACTGCCAAGTTAATTTTTGTTATAGGATTGCTTTAAAGGCGACTCAAGAAGTGATGAATACGACAAATACTTAATATACTAAACTGCCTACCAGCACAAAATTATGCTGGTAAATTACCAAATGAGAATAGTAATTGCTACAGAACCCCAACATAGGCTTGCCCACTGGTTTTCTCCTTTATCGTTGCTGTTCATTTTTGACTTTCTTTTAAAGTGGTACTGTACGGATTAATCCTGCTTTCATTTTAACGTTAAAACAGCTTTTTGTTAGCCAGTCAATTATAGAATATTGGTAATTTGTAACCAAATTGTAGAAAATGAAGAGACTACACAAAGAGATGTACAGTTTAAAATATGACTTCTGTAAGGTTAGGGAAGTAGATGAAAAATTCATGACTAATATGACTTTTGAGGGATGAAAATACACAATTAATAACTATATTAGCAACTAGACAATGTCTAGCATAATTTGATTTTTGTCCTGCTATCCTAGCGGCGCTTTCCACAATCCCTATTTACTGACATTTAGTAAGTAGCACATAGCTAAAATTTAAAAAAAATATTTACGAGTTTAAGATCGTATTAGGCAGTTGCGCAACCAAATGCTTAAACGATTTGTAAGCAGCGTGGTAATTCAGATATTTTGACATCAGCCAATAAAATATGCTTTGACACTTTTTGACAACTGTTATCTGTCTCATCTTTTAATCCCACTTCGAATGAGCTATCTTTCAATGTCAAGGGAGTATGTCATCAAGATACAATCATTTAGGTAGAATTGAGAGCATTCAAATTTTCCCTAAAACGTGGCATTGTAAATCTGGAACACATTTTAATGATGGGTACGTTGCACAAACGCATCCCATAAAGCCTTCCTTTAAGCTCAATTTTAAATGCGTTTGGCATGCCATCATTGGGAGAATTAAAACAGATCTGCTTTTGTCGGTGGGGAATTACCCTTCTTTTCCTCACAGATTGCCACACTTGAGGCTTGTTCTTCGCCTCTGATCGGAAGGATGGTTTTATGAGCTTGAGTGATCGCCTATGAGACTGTGGCTAGTAACGTGGCAAACTTTTGGCTATACACGTGCGTTGTCTTGTCAACAGGCATTGCATATTGCATTCGGGCAGTCAGGAATCGTCGTTACTCAGTAAGGACTGTGCATCTTGATAGCGGTGTCGAAGGCGGACACATTGTTGGAAAATGGCTTTGGATTTCGGTGGTGGATATTGGCAGTCGCCGGAAATTTTAGCTCACCAACTTTAGTAATCGAGTCTCCTTTTAAGCACGATACCAATTGCCTAATTTGCATGAATGGGATCTTTGATGTTTGAATGATTGTATGGGCTGTGCTAACTTTCGACACTCCCCCAAAGCCGAATTATCTAAGGACAATACGACACATGATGCCTTTTCTATGCACAGGTAAGTTGAGCGGCTGCTGGTATGGATCAAAGATGAGGCTATCTATTAAGGGTTCAAACTCGGCTCTCTAATTTTAAAAAAT